ACCTAAGACATCCATTGGTACCAACCATGTCATGCTAGTTTGTTAGTAAAGGGGCTGAATAATGCTCAAAAGTTGGGCAAAAGTTTGGCGAGGGAAAAACTGGTATGGTCGTTTTCAAAGAGATCCCCGACTTCTCACTTCAATATATCTGAATGCAAAGAGGATGTAAGGATGAGTCTCCCTTTTACAGCTGGTCCCATGCAGTCTTTTTGCATGCAATATAATTGTGTTATTTTTGCCTAATCTAAATCTGTATACTTCTGTATACTGGGGTCCCTGAACAGTCTTGAACTTGCATAAGATGGATTTGACTGGAAAGCTGAAATTCTTGTGGATTCAGTGAGCTCGTCTGTATTCATGTGTGATGATCTTGTTTCCATTCGTATTCATTTCAGTATAGTGAGACCAGGGGTAGGGTCAGTGTATAAATGTGTTAGTGTATAAAATGACCTATTGTGTCACAGCCTCATGAAACTTTACACCTACAAACAAGAGACATTAGATTATTCAGAGGATGTGTTGTTTTCATGGCTATATTGACAACAAGCAGAGCAGTTTTTCAAAATGAAAGTGATCATTATCCAAATGGCAAAAAAAAAAAAAAAAGAAAATGCGGTACTTAACAGAAATCTCCAAATGTCAAAAGTTTTTGATACCAGATCGCAGCGTGGATTTTTCTGTGGTGTTCCTCAATGTCTTGGTGTCTTTATGTGGTATTTTGAAGGGATTTTTGACCATTTTTTAACCAATTAAGGTTGCATTTTGCACAAAGTCTGTCTAACAAGTGGCATCAATCTGACTTACGAGACATAATTGAGCATGTATCATATACTTCCATTATGATATCATGATGTTATAAGTCCTTAAACACTCTAAACTTAAAAAAGTTTAAAAGTTTAACAAGGCACCTAACCAAAACATAATATCTGTTACAGTTTCATGACTACAACAGCGCTCAGTGCTGCACAGTGGTCAAATTAACCTTCAGGTTCCAGCATTCAGATGATGTATACCACTTCTATATAGCATATACAGGATGTCTACAGGTGTCAGACAGTTCAGTTTAATACTTTTAAAGACCCATTCAAGACAACTTCTAACCAAAGACAGATTTTTGGACAAATCATGTTGTACTTATTTAAGCATTGCAGGCAAGTATATATGTGGTCTTGTGTGGAGGTAGGTGTAATGTAGGAATATGGTTATTAGATTCTATCTCTTCTCTTATTTTGTCAACAGGTAGGTGCAAGTATGAAGTAAAATGACAGTATTAGTTTTTAAAAATTTGTAACATTAGAAATGTGAACTTTTACATTGAAAGGTGTCACTCATTTTCACAAAAAGGACTTTAAAAATGGATAAATAAAATTAGATCAAATATTTGTAGTAGTTAAGACCTCACAAATTCAAATTTCAGACAATTTTAATGACTTTTAAGGCCTTATTGCTGTAACATTGAACTTAAGACATTTTAAGACCGGTAGACACCCTGATACACTATTGACCTGCTATCTGTCGCCAAAGATCCCCCGCGCCTTCCAAAAAGACAAAAATAGGTCTATGGTGGGTCTCAGAGGGTTAACACATCATGTCTTTGTGATTTATATCCATTTCTATCTAATTCCAAAACTAACTTTGTGCATTACAAACTGTATTTAACAGAAAATGCAGCACAAACCCAACAGTCTCCATCGAAAAGTGACATCTGAATATCCTGCCACCTGTCTACCTGACACAGTGCAACGCAAGGAATCAGACCAGCCCTCCTGCATACACCCAAATACCGGTGGGTTTAAGGCCGCATTGTAAGAAACAATTTAGCATCAGTATTGTATGTGTCATATTATTAAAGCTGACCTTCTCATTTTTCAGACTCTCCATGTGGACCCTCTGCATTTGGAAACATGAGCGACAGAAGTGAAACAGAAAAAGCAGCTGAAAATTTCAGCCACTTCAACAGAAGTTATCCCTCTGACCTTTACACATCTTCACCAGCGGCATGTCACGGCCACACGACCAGGAAAGAGACACTGGAACAGCCCCCAAACCTGCACCAGAAAGAGAAACTTCAGAAGGAGACGCACGGGGGCCAGCCATTTGACACAACAAAGGATTTACCTCTCAGGGACAAATCTTGGGATCAAACAGCGACTCCTGACCCTGACGGCAGACACGGCTGCAGGAAAAGGCAGCTCGAGTTTGACAACTCCTTTAAAGTGAAGAGGATAAAGCAGGAAATCGTAGATCACAAGTCTGATGCTTCAAAGACTTTGCACACTGATCCACCTCCACTCAGCATCAGACACACACATCCATCTTCACACAGCATGCCGGTGCAACATATAAACATAGGTGATTTGTCTGTCTTGTATCCTAACAGCAGTAGATGTAACATTACCAGAACTCCTGGGAGACTCGTCTCTTATCCAGGAGCTGAAATGCATCCCTACCAAACTGCATCATGGGAGCCAATGTGGGACATTCATAAGACGATGGAGCTCCACTCTAGAAAAAACATGCTGCAGAACTATTCATTGAATACCTGCAAAGGGATCAGGATACCTCATGTAGCACAGAAACAGAAAGAGGCTTTTCATGGGTTCTTTACGCCACCTTTTTATTTCCCTCTTGCTCTGAGGCAGCAGGAGACAGTTTACCTTAGAGGGAGGGAGCTTCTACACTCAAGTCATCAGAACTGTCATGTCCACCATCCTGGCTATGTGGCAACATCCTACATGGGGCCCTGAGTCTCCAGAGCAGCAATTCCCATGAGGTCACTAAGTAATCCCTCTCTATCATCACTTATGACCCAAAAGAACTGTGTGGTGGTATATTTATCTGCAAAGACGCTACCCTCTGCCTGTAATTTCTTCTTATTTTGCTGTAGTTGGCATGTTTCTGGCCTCAACATGCAGGTGAGGTCGGGACTTTATAAAAAGGAAGTGACCAGGTGCCTGACCGTAAGCAGCACGCACCCAAGAGGAAGCTACAAAAAGATAGCCCAGAAAGCACAAATACAGCGAGGTGAAATGCCAGCCTGGGGATGGCTTTCACTTCGCTGACGATACTGTTTACAGCAGTGTCCGACAATCCCTGCATAGTAGTAATAAAGCATGGTGGTCTTGAAATTTAACATCAGTCTCTTCAGTGGATTTTGGTGACCGTACATACTAATGCTGTAATGATTCCCTCTTTTAATCGTTTTGATTAAATACATTCAGATGCACGTGCTTGCTCATTTATTAAAATAAAGTCAGGTGATATCAATGCTCATGTTTGGTGGAAGAAAAGGTTCAAAAAGTAACTGACCTTTCACTTAGCCCTGCCCCTTTGTGATGGTCCAACAAGCTGTCAGAGTAAGCATGGAGCCCACACTGTAACTAACTGCACTCCCTGAAGAAATATTATATTTTTGGAAAAATGAAACAGTGATTCCAGAGAGAAGCAGACAGAGGGGTCTACAGTCTGTGTTTGAAGGATATATCCAGGATGTCAAACTGACTCAGCAGCAACAACAGGTTAAAAAGACAAAGATAGTTTGAAGCTAAAGCCGAACTATAGGCTACAGATCACAGTGTAAAAGTGAACCACCACATCACTGCTGATCGTCACAGAAGACAATGAATATGAAGGGAAACTTTGCTGATATTGAACCAGCTGTGTGGCATCGCAGTGTTTGCAGATGAACGTGCCACTGCCAGCCCCTGGACCTCTGCCGCTGGACAGGCAGGGATCACCAAGGAAAGTCAAACAACGTTCATCTGCGCACAAAGTGATGACACACAGCTGGTTGAATATCAGCAAAGTTTCCCTGCTTCCCTTCACTGGTTCCTGTACAGCAGGGTCGGTCTGATTTTCACTGTTAAAATCATTAAAAATCAAAAGCAGCATGTGTATACATTCAGTAGGCTACATCTTCAGTAGCTAGCTAGCTAACCCTACACTTTTCAGGGTTTGATTTTGGTTTTGGAACAGGGAAGAAACGTATATCTTTTTCCAACCTCTCCAGGTAACGAGTATCATTAATACACATTTACATTACATTTACATTACAACATTTAGCTCCAAATCCACAAAACCAGGTTGAAAATGAAGGAAATCTGAAATGATTGCATTAGAGTCAATGGAGCACAGCTGTGTTGTTGTCGAACCCTGGTCTGAGCCGGCCTGATGCTACGTTATGATTGGCCAGTCTGCGTCCAAGACGGTATTTCGCAAAGGGTCAATTAGCAGGAAACACAACTGATGCGACTGCCTTTTGTTTTGCATGTACTTGGTCATAAACCAAAGTATTGGACAAATTAAATTTTTTACCAAGCAGCACCCTTCAGGGCTGAAAACTACAGTTTCTTGAATGTCCACTTGAGGCTGGATCCAAAAAGAGAGTTAATCTGCTCAACTTTACAGTAGAAATAAGCATGTTTACAACCTGGTATACAAAATTATTTTTTGTCTCTGTAGCTTTTATATAATTCAACCATTTACATTTTATTAAGCCTTAAAGTTACGCATATTTATGTGCAGGACTGCTTGAGTGACACCCCTCGCTCATCCACAGCTCCAGCCTCTCGTCCAAATATGGTCAATGCTGGCTCAAAAACCAAGATGGTTACAGCCCAAATGGTGAACTCCGGGCTTCAAAATGGCAGTCACGGTAGCTACGTCCATTATTCTATACAGTCTATGGTGCAAGCACAATGTCTCCGTTCACTGTTATGCCGACGACACACAAATTTACCTTTTGTTAAACCCAGGGGATTCCAGCTCCATCACATCCATCCTTAACTACCTCACTCGTTCTTTCAATTTGTACAGCACTTTAGTCAACTGTGGTTGTTTTTAAATGTGCTTTATGAATTAACATGATGATTTATGTTTTTGACCTGGTTCTAGGTTAAAAATCAGGACCAAAATGGTTGATCGACTGACCGTTCAACATTACCGTCCTCACAGCAAAAGTGACTCAGGAAAAGAAAAGTAAAAACTGAAACAAGAAAGTCTTTCTTTTGTATAAAAAATGTATTTCACATTTGTAACAATAAAATTAAGCAAAATTCTAAGACTAGCATAAAAGATAATGACTTCTGAAATCCTCTGTCAGGCAACTTCATGGACAAATCACAGACACTGGAACACTGTGTGTAAAGATCACGTGAAGAACAACACTTTGTAGTGCTTTCAAGTCTTCTCATTCATGTAAGCTTCATCAGAATCATTAGTGGGATTAACAGGCAATCCCTTAGATGGGAGACATCACAAAGCCAAGCTGGGCCATTGGAGTTAATAAGAGCTGCTAAAATAAAACTGTGGTCTCCAACAGCAGTGAAGAAATAACCATCTCAATGAAGCACCACTCTAAAACCACAGGAGACCACAAGAAAGCTTTGGCTAGAAAAAAACAGTTCCAGTCTTCACTTGCAGCTCCACAGCAAAAATATAGGACAAGAGGCAAACCAATGTCAATGCATAACAGCTACAAGAGCATCCATGATGGATACGTGGTGCAGTGCAGCGTGCAGGAATCACACCACGTCCATGCCCAGGCCCCTCGCGACCTCGGTCAGGGCCTGGACTGCTCCAGATGTCCCACTGCCATCACAGTCCTCTTGAGATACTCCTCCAGGCTCCTCCTCAATGTGAGGAATGGTGCTCATGACACAATAGACGGGAGAGTCACTGTCTCTGGGGCTGGGCTGAGATGAAACATCCTCACCTCCAGAGAGCTCTGAGGAGTACGAGGAGGAGGAGCTGGAGGAAGGCGAGGAGGATCCCGCGGGAGAGCTTGGCCCGCTCACCGGTGTGACTGCAGCCCTCTTGTTCCGGCTGCTGGTTCTCTGACTTTTCCGAAGGCTCTGCGGCTTTTTAACCATGTTCTTCATGATCTCCTTTGTCACTTCTACAGTCTCAAACCGCACCATGTTGAGTTTTAGGAAGCCGTCTACATCCTTTCTGTATCTGTGAAGAAAGCACACGAACAACCACATATAAAACACGTATTATTTCAGTCTTTACTTCTTGTTAAATGAATTACATCTGATGCACCACAGAGTGAATCTATGAAATCAGCCGTTACCTAAAGCGTGAATGTCCAGACGGCCATTTTAGCTCATGCTTCTTGCGTAGGTGAAGCGTGAGAGTGTAACACCAGGAGAAGACCTTATCACAGATATGGCATTTATATTTAGACATGCCCCCGACCTGTTGATAAATATATGTAGTGGTATTAACAACAAAGCATGATAACTGTGAACAAGACTGCAGCAGGTTGTAATGACGATGATCTGACAAACCTCGTGTACTCTCTTGAAGTGGTGGCTCATGGTTTGGAATGAGTAACAGGAATAATCACAACCCTCCACTGTACAGTGATACACAGTTCCTTCATTGTGAACCTCTGTGTGCTTCTGAAGATCCCTCGGGTTCTTAAATCTGTAAAGAAAAATATTTATAACATGATTTTATGATGCAGTCTTTAAAATACAACTTTACATGACGGTTTTGTTCCAGTTAAGTTATGATTTTATTTCTATTTGTAACATTTTTTTAAAAAATGCCACAGATTTTCTGAAAATCTGATTAGTTCAAAAATATACCAGACACCATTAAACACACAGGAAAGTAACTACAAAATGTTAAAGTGATTAGTTACTACACGGTTTTTCCACTGTTTGGTAATCCATTTAAAAGAGAAAAGATACTAATAAAGGAACTCCTTTATACAACCTAAATTCCAAAAATTGAATACACAACAAGACAAGATATTTAATTTTCAAACTAATAAACTTTCTTGTTTTTGTAAATATTTTTATGCCTGCTACATGTTACATAAAAGCTGGGACAGGAGCATGTTTACTAGTGCATTACATCACCTTTTCTTTTGACAACACTCAGTAAGCATATGGTAAATGAGGAGAGTAATTGTTGAAGTTTTTAAAGTGAAATTCTTTCCCATTCTTGTTTGACACACAACTGAAGTCTGGGATCTCCATTGTCGTGGGTTGCGTTTCATAATGCACAGCACATTTTTAAATAGGACAGGTCTGGACTGCGGACAGACCAGTTTAGTACTCACACTCTTTAACTAAGAAGCCACGCTGTTATAAAACATGCAGAATGTGTCTCATCATCTTGCTGGAGTAAGGAGGGACGTCCCCTAGAAAAATGTCATCTGAATGGCAGCATATAATGCTCCGAAACCAATATGTACCTTTCAGCATTCATGATGCCTTCACAGATGTTCAAGTTACCCATGATGCCGTGGGTACCAACACACCTGCATATCATCACAGATGCTGACTTTTGAACTTCGTGCCAGGAACAACTTGGATTTTCCTTTCGCTCTTAAGCCCAGAGAGCACAACGTCCATGATTTTCAAAATTGATTTAAAATGTGGACTCATCAGACCACAGCACACTTTTCCACTTTGTGTCAGTCCATCTCAGATGAGCTCTGTGGTGTTTCTGGATGTTGTTGAAATAAGGCTCTCACGTGGTAGAGTCTTAACTTGCATTTGAAGATGCAGCAACAAACTGTCTTTACCTACAACAGTGTGCCAAAAGAGTTCCAGAGCCCATGTAGTAATATTCTCTATATAATTATATCGGTTTTTAATGCAGTGCCACCTGAGAGGTCAAAAGTCACCAGCAGTCACTGCTGGTTTTCAGCCTTGCCCCTTAAGTGCAGAGATTTCTCTAGATTCTCTGAATGTTTTCATAATATTATGGATTGTAGTGAAATCCTTAAATTCTTTGCAGAAGTGCTATAAGAAATGTTGAGTATTTGAGTATTTACAGTATTTATATAGCACCTACACCTGCCTTATAATTATAAAAAGACATGTAAATAATAATAACGATAATACATTGGATTTATATAGCTCTTTTCAGGATACTCAAAGACGCTTTGTACAATATGGGACCTTTAAAAGGGCTAATGTGACTGAAATTGTACTGTAAACATAGCCAAAGAGCAGGTAACATTATGAAACAAAACAACAGAAGATGGAAGAAACAGCATGTTTATGAACGCTGGTGCTGAAGGCAACAATGTGTCGTCCACGTCTCCTATTTTCTCAACAGTGTTTTTGTTTGCAACACAAATAAAACGCAATATAAATGACGTTTACTTACTTACCAATAGGTAATGAATGACATCCTTTATAATACAGCAATTTAAAGATAAATGTTTTATTGAAATAGGTGAAACTTGATTTTTCTACTTTAGTGCCAAATTGACGAGAAAACACAATTTAGAGGGGGTTGTAAACTGACAAACTATTCTTGAGCTCCACTTTTGCTCAAGTACAGCTGCTGTCAAGTGGACATCTAATCAGCTGTTTTGAAAGTCTACCTTTTGTCACAGAAGTCACACGGGAAGGGACGCTCATCGCAGTGGCGGAACCTGATGTGGATCTTCAAAGCTGCCAAAGTGGTGCAGGTCATGTCACAGAAGGGACACTTCACCTGATTCACTGGGAGGAAAGGAAAAAGTAAAAATTGAATATATTCCCTGATAAAAGGCTAAATTGGCCAACTGATGGTCAGCTTAGTTTATCAGTGATCCATCATGCACCTTTTAAGTACAATTACATTAAATGGATTTATCCTCTTCTTTTCAATGACTAACTCTATGACAATTTTATTCTGACCAAAACATTCATGAAAATGAAACAAAAAGTTGTACTAAATGATTACCATGCTGACGGACATGATCCCTCAAAAGCCTCTCGCTGGAAAAAGCTTTGCCACAATGTTCACATACCAGTGACTCTGTTCAAATGAGATACATTTACAGAAGTCAGAATCTATACAATATGTTTAGCACATGATCATCCTAAAAAAAATGAAGTGTCCTTCTCACCAACTGGCTCGGCCTGTCTGTGCAGGTGGTCAAACAACTTTGTGTTGCTGGAGAACATGCTGCCACATGTAGGACACGCTACGAGTCTCTCCTGTGTGTGGCTTCGCATGTGTTCTCTCAAACGGTATCTGATTTTGAAGAAAGCATCGCATCCTGTAAGAGAAACATGACATATAGATATGATTAGATAAAGTTAGATGTACTTGGAACAGCTCTTTGGCTTCCTCTTACTCAGTCGTACCTGACCAGTGGCAGAAGAGAGCCTGTTGTTGCTGCAGGAGAGACTGTGGCTCAGCACTTTCAACATGATTGTCCACATGTCGGTAGAACCACTCAGGATTGTTGAATGTACTCTATATAAAGACAAAAATATTAATTCTGTAATAATAGTGCCCTCAATTATTTGATGGCAGATGAAAAAGCATTTAAAATACTTACATCGCAGTGCTCCCACTGGCAAACGTATCCATCAGATCCTTCAGGAACCAGGTTGTTGCTGTGCAGGCCTTGGTTGCAGCTGGGCAGATCAGGACGGGACTTGAGCAGCTGTGACCCGATGAACTTGAGCTTACCGTGGTAGTTGTGGAAATAAGCATGGACCTCCAGCTCTGCAGGGCTGCCCATGGCCAGAAATTCACATCCATTCCAGAGACAAGCATACTCATCTAAACAAAGACAGGAGCAAAGTAATTACTGCAATGAAGAAAGGACAGATGTTACAGTATGTACAGGGAGCATGATGAGATGTGACTGAGTAGGGCTGGGCAACTAACTGAACATAGACACAAACTTATATCCAGCCTCATATAAATGATGTAACTAGACTAAACAAGCTGTTGCCTAGTTTGTTAATGCAACTGAAAGTCCAACATCTAAGCCAGAGTAAAAACAAGTCACTGTCAGTCAGTGAGAATTCATGTAGTTTGCGTGGCTTTATTCATAAAAGAAAATCTTGTCAGCAAAGCTCCTGTCTAACTAACAGAAAATGTCACTCCAATATTGGAGAAAATGCCAGCACGGGTGCAGATTAGTAAGAGCTGGAAAAAAAGATGCCATGACAGATGTGTGGGATAAAAATAGTTGTTGCTTCAAGAGGAAACACAGAGAAATTGTCCCCCATTGTGAAAGGGTACTAACTCAGTGTTATCACTGGCAATTTTCTGATTATTGGTCAGTACACAGAATCATTAAGAGGTCTACTGCAGGTAGAAGATACTGTTTGTTACCAAGGTGAAAATGTGAGACTGTTTGTCTCTTGAAGACTAGAAAACTACTTTGCAGTTGACTTTCATACCTATTTTTGACTATGGATTTATCTTGAACACACACGCTGATAATTCCACTTTAAAAACAACTTAATGTGGTTTACTACTGCAACAAACAACAGATCACAGATGAGATCCAAAGATTGATCCCACAGAAAAATACCGACCTTTTAGAGATGTCTGTGTTTGTTTTTAATGCCATCATGTCTCTGTAGCACACTTAATTATTCTACTGTGTCTCGTCTTGTGCAAAGCAGATCCTAGTCTCAATGGGATGTCCTGACTAAAGGTCAGACTGACTAAACTGTCATAGTGGTTTCAGGTAACATCTCCCAGCCTTGCAAGTGAAATAGCCTTACTCCTTGTGTGTGTCCTGTATCCTCCTCACTCACCCAGGTCCTCTAAGGCATCATTGTCTCCCAGGTAGTCCTTTAAATGTAATGACATATGATTGCTCAGCTCCTCCATGGTGCGGCCCTTGAAGTCGCATGAATCCCACTCGCACGCCACCTCAAAGTTGTCAAGTCTCTTGGTCGTCATCATGATGTTGATCTGTGTGCTCAGCTGCTGCTGCACACTATCTTGACCACCTAAACAGAGAAATACAGCAACAGATATTTTAACAGAGAGAAAAAAATTACAGTGTAGGGGTGCAACTAATGATTATATTTGTTACTGATTTATCTGTAGAAACTGCAGCGTAATGAAACAGATTTCCTAGAGCCTACAGAGACTTCATGTAACCGATAACATTATTTCCTATACCCCCCAAAATGCTAAATGTATTATTATGACCAAGGAAAGCAGCAACTCCTCAAATTTCAGAAACTGAATATATTATATTGTTAGCAGTTTCACATGAAAATAATTTAACCGATCAATTGTTCATTAAAATAGTTGTCTGTTAATTTCCCGTCGATCCGAATAATCGACTACTTTACTAATCGTTACAGCTCTAAAACTGTGTGCTACAACACCATTACTAAGAAGCGATTTCAGCCGTTAGCATACAAAGCTAGCTAGAGCCGTTAGGAAATTTAAACTCAGGCTAACAAACTCATAATATATTTAACCGACGTTAGCTCAAGTTAGCTGACAAGTTATAATCTATCTTTCTGTCTGATACATTAAAAACAACTGCAATCGTTTTTACTACCGACTGTTTGCGAGTTGACGAACCCAGTAACCGGTTAAGTGCACATTATTTCTATCTTCGTCTGTTGTGTTCATATAATAACTAGTATTTTGGCTAACAGTCTAGCTAACGCTGAACCTGTCACAGGTTTACTCTCTGTCACTAAACAGCTTACGCTTATCATCATTTTTTAAATGTTTAACATAAAAAATAATTTGACATATTCGTGGGCAACTTGTAGACGCACACTAATGTTTTCGACACTTGGGATACACAGAGTTTTGTAAATGTTTGTTAAAAGTATAAACGTTACTTGCTGCAGCATCTGGGCTTCTTCCCTCCTCTGAGCTTGTCTGATTTTGTTTATTTCCGGTGAGTGCAAGTCCCAAAACGGAAGTTGTTCTTCTTCGTCTGTTATACAAAATCTGTTCTAAACAGACGAAGAACAATACCTCCAAGTGCTGCACTGGGTGAACATCCAAACAATAATTCATGTTTACAAAGAAAAATGGCAGACTTTTGTCTTCATGTGTGCAGTGACAGTAAAGCTGATAAACTGTGCTAAGAGCAGCAACACTGTCATTTCTGAATGGCTCCCAAATTTTTTCTTGTTTACAACATAGAGTGGATTATTGATTGATTATAATTATAATTTTAATGTTGACACTGACAGTGGAAAATGAAAAGGTCATAGGCATCTTCCTTACAAGGTGAAAGATTTAATGCGGCCAACAAAAGCAAGATGAAGACATAAACAGTGTGTAACTGCAATCTAAAGAAAGTTGTTTGCACCTAACAGTCTACCAAGCAATCAGATAAATTTGTGTAATTAGTATACTATTATACTGTATACTACAGAAGCGTATTGCATTCAATTGACAAATTAAAAAAGCCCTGTTTTTTTGAGTAATTTTTTCTGTTTTTCTGAGTATTTTTTTCCCTGTTTGTCGTGGTAATTTTTTTCTGTTTTTCTGAGTATTTTTTTCCCTGTTTGTCGTGGTAATTTTTTTCTGTTTTTCGGGGTATTTTTTTTTTCTTGTACTTTTTTGTGGTCATTTCTTTCTGTTTTTCGTGGAGACGAGATACTTCAAAATCTCGCGAGAAGCTCCCACCTGGCACCTGCAAGTGACCCCTGCATCCATGGTGACTCCTGCTTATGGGAGGAGTCAATACGGGATCAATAAGGGTAAGGCACGTAATAAGTTACACACAGGGTATGATAATCTAGCTATGTTTTCGACTGCATCCTTCTAGTGTAGGTCTATCGCTCAGTGTAACAGGTTAGGTTAATAACAGGTTGTAACAACTTTGCCTATCATGCCCATACACGTTTGTCAGCTAACATTGTTACAACCTGTAAATAAAGCTGAAATTGTCTAGGAGCAGGAGCACGGATGCAAAATACATCCATGAGCAGGAGTCACCATGGATGCAGGGGTCACTTGCAGGTGCCAGGTGGGAGCTTCTCGCGAGATTTCAAAGTATCTCGTCTCCTTGTTCATGAAAAAAAAATACCCCAAAAAACGGAAACAGGGCTTTTTTTTATTTGTCAATTGAATGCAATACGCTTCCGTAGTATGACATCAGCTAAATTGAGCCACTTTTTGGCAAATCACTTAGGAAACTAAGAAAAAGCAATGTGTGACACTGGGTTGTGCTTTTATAGTTAATATGGACTGTTTATAATATTTTTTTGTTGAATTGATATAATAAAATATAATTGTTCAGGTCCTATAGCTTTTGAAGCATCAGTTGTCCCATGTTTTTGAGATGAGCCGTGTTCTGGTAAAATGGGCCACTTGATCAGCTAAAAGGAGCCACTCATCTAGATGTATAGCTGTTTTTTTTTACTGATTTATCAACCTTATCATTTTCAGGAATTTTGGTTTTCTGCCAGGCCGCTCACCTCACAGTTCTCCTCAGCAGGCTGGACGTGAAGCATTGCCCCACCCACCACAGCAACCATAGACCATCAATTCAATTGTTTTTTGTCAAGTACAGTTGTAACAACAATTTGAAATAATGTGCAGCCATTGTCTGTTGAAATTTAAAAAACTAGGAGGCTCAAACCGTTAATGGCTCATTTTACCTGATGGCTCAGTTTAGCTGATATCACCCTATATATGTATATGGTACATTATATAAGATTATATAAAAATCTCCTCCATCTGTTGACATAGGTGAGTGGTTAAGCCCATGGTGATTGGATAGTTTGTGGTGACGACTGGGTTGGTCAGGTTTACAACCTAGCACTTGCCCTCAGTCACAAAAACAACTGTTCATAGTCTTGTAAATATGTAATAACTCGCTAATGAATTCATCAAAGTGCAGTTTGTATCTTTAAGGTTACATTATGGTTTATTTTCATTCACCAAGAATAATATCAATAAATATCTATGTAATCAATATCTATCAATACAATTCAGTTTTCCATTAAAAGATGACAACAGTGAGCCTTGTTGTGTGTCTGGAACCAGTTTGTGTAACCACAGCATCCTGAGAGTGTTTGTTTCACAAGGGACAGTAGATTATTTATTTTGCCTCACTAAATCATCCTTTTCAATCATCTCTGAACTTCTTGTTTTGTCACTATTTGTTGGTAAAAATTACACAAAGTGTTGTCTGTTTTTGTGTAGGAAGCTTTTAGAAGTTCAGTTTTTTTTAAATAATTTTTTTTAAATAAAAAATAATAATGACACAGTTTTAAACATTTGTATGATTACATCTGACTGATGAGCTTTTGCTGAAGGCTTTTTAGGAATTGAAAAACCCAAGACAGTTTTTTTTTTATCACACTGCAACATTTCTAACTGTTCTAACTTTCTAACATTATAAGACAGTGAGAGACACAGAGGCATTTTTAAGCAAATTCAATTCAAGCCAATTTAATTATATAGCAACAAATCACAAAAGTGATCTCTGAACACTAATGAAAACCCAACAAATTTCCACAATCTCCACCACGAGCAAGCACTGTGGCAACAGCGGCAAGGAAAAACTGCCTTTTAACAGGCAGAAACCTCGAGCAGAACCAGGCTCTGTGGTGGGTGGCCGTCTGCCTCGACCGGTTGGTTTAAAGAGAGGGGAGGGAGGGAGGGAGGAAGAGGAGAGAGGGGAGGAAGAGGAAGTGGGGGAGGGGAGGGGGGCTCGATCAGCTACTGATGTATCTGGGAGTCCATTAAGTCCAACGGGGTCTGAACAAAACACATAAAAAGATCTTCTATCACACAGATAAAAACATCTCTGTTTTCACACAGTGACGTCTACAGGCCTGATCATTGCTAACATACATTCAAAAATCTAATGACCTGATGCACAGCTAGACTCTCAGACACTACCAAATCATACTGCCATACACCATCCTGATCCACACTACCTTGATTTCAGACGAGTGAGAGGAGGAGGAATTCTTTCTGGTCGATGTAGTTCAGCAGCACAGTCAGGAAGGAGGGCTCTTCTTTTACTCAACGTATGGAAATACCTGTAAGAAGAAGAAGAAGAAGAAGAAGAAGATGTAAACAGAATGTAAACAGACAGGTGGCTTCAGTTTATCAACCCAGGCTACTGTTACACAGCATTGTATGTTATCTGAATGGTTGTATTTACAAGTGGATCTCTGGTCCCTGCTGTTCTACTGAGGTCTTCACATGGCAACAGGATTGGAGTCAGCGGTGCAGGCTGCCGCAGGAGGGTGTAGATGGAGCTACAGGTCTGTAGGTGGAGGCATCAGTGAGGGACAACAGCCATCTGCCAGAGTCTGCCGGTGGAGGTGGTGACTGCAGGTTGCTGGCAGAGGCTGTAGATGGAGGTTTGGCCACAGCTGTCTACCAGAACCTGCAGGTGGAGGCGGAGGTGCAGGTTGCTGGCAGAGTCTGTAGGTGGAGGTTTGGCCACAGCTGTCTGCCAGAAACTGCAGGTGGAGGTGGCAACTGTAGGTTGCTGGCAGAGGCTGTCGGTGGAGGTTTGGCTAGTTTAAACCTGAGCATGGCTGTGATAGGCTTTTGACGTAAGGTTGAGCAGGACACTTTAGAGGCTGTAGGTGGAGGTTTGGCCACAGCTGTCTGCCAGAATCTGCAGGTGGAGGCGGAGGTGCAGGTTGCTGGCAGAGGCTGTAGTGCGTGGAGGTTTGGCCGCAGCTGTCTGCCAGAATCTGCAGGTGGAGGCGGCAACTGCAGGTTGCTGGCAGAGGCTGTCGGTGGAGGTTTGGCCACAGCTGTCTGCCAGAATCTGCAGGTGGAGGCGGCAACTGCAGGTTGCTGGCAGAGGCTGTAGTGCGTGGAGGTTTGGCCGCAGCAGTCTGCCAGAATCTGCAGGTGGAGGCGGCAACTGCAGGTTGCTGGCAGAGGCTGTCGGTGGAGGTTTGGCTAGTTTAAACCTGAGCATGGCTGTGATAGGCTTTTGGCGTAAGGTTGAGCAGGACACTTTAGAGGCTGTAGGTGGAGGTTTGGCCACAGCTGTCTGCCAGAATCTGCAGGTGGAGGCGGCAACTGCAGGTTGCTGGCAGAGGCTGTAGGTGGAGGTTTGGCTAGTTTATCTGTCATCATGGCTATGACGGGCTTTTGCTGTAGGGTGGAGCAGAACACTAGAGGTGGTAGATGGAGGTTTGGCTGCAGCTCTCTGCCAGAAATTGTAGGTGGAGGCGGAGGTGTAGGTTGCTGGCAGAGGCTGTAGTAGGTGGCAGTTTGGCCGCAGCAGTCTGCCAGAATCTGCAGATGGAGGCGGCAACTGCAGGTTGCTGGCAGAGGCTGTAGATGGAGGTTTGGTTAGTTTAAACCTGAGTATGGTTGTGATAGGCTTTTGGTGTAAGGTGGAGCAGGACACTTTAGAGGCTGTAGGTGGAGGTTTGGCCACAGCTGTCTGCCAGAATCTGCAGATGGAGGCGGAGGTGCAGGATGCTGGCAGAAGCTGTAGATGGAGGTTTGGCTAGTTTAAACCTCAGCATGGCTGTGACGGGCTTTTGGTGTAAGGTGGAGCAGGACTCTTTAGAGGCGGTAGCTGGAGATTTGGCCACAGCAGTCTACTAGAATCTGCAGGTGGAGGCGGCAACTGCAGGTTGCTGGCAGAGTCTATAGATGGAGGTTTGGCCAGTTTAAACCTGAGCATGGCTGTGTCGGTCTTTTGGTGTAGGGTGGAGCAGAACACTAGAGGTGGTAGATGGAGGTTTGGCTGCAGCTCTCTGCCAGAAACTGCAGGTGGAGGCGGCAACTGCAGGTTGCTGGCAGAGTCTGTAGATGGAGGTTTGGCCAGTTTAACTCTGACGGTGGTGGAAGATGGAGGTTTGGCTGCAGCTCTCTGCCAGAATCTGCAGGTGGAGGCAGAGGTGCAGGTTGCTGGCAGAGGCTGTGGATGGTAGAGGCTAATAGTGG